TGTCCTATGGGAAAATATCATCCCTCACTGCAATAATCATGCTAGGTCTTCAGTTTCAGAATCTAATTTTCCAAATGTCACCTCCAATTTTCCATGTTCTCTACAATTCAGCATAGCCTTTTCCATTTCTTATTTGACAGACCACAGTACAATGTACCGATAATTTTATGGACTGGAATGTTCTACGAGAAAATATAATCCCTCACTGCTCTAATCATGCTAGGTCTTCCCTTTCAGAATCCATTTTTCCAAATGACACTTTCATTCGTATTACCTTCTTCCATCTAGTATTTTCCAGATTCAGAAGATTCTACTCCTTTTTCTAAAGCCTAAGATATAAATATAAAAGTTAGAAATTTAATCGAAGATATAAGACTCCAGGACTTCATATATAGTCCTTAAAGTGAGGGCAGTACAGAAAATTCTATGTGGTAGTTATGAAGTAGATGAGAAAACAAATACATAGATTTATAACAGAAATGAACATATTCGTGTAGTATCTATTCGTGTAGAAATGAACATATGCAGATGGAAAAATTGAGCTATTAGTGTAGAATGTGTGACCAATCCAAATAAATGTCAGCCATAAGTTGAATACCAGTACTGCTTCAATATCTCTCGTTGCATCCCTCGTGGTCAGAAGATCACTAATGCAAAACAAACTATTGAATATCGAAGCACTGCCTCTTGCTAGGAAAAACTAAAGTAAAAGCCACGATACAAAAGAATTACACGCAATGATTGCAGATAAACATTAAAAAATAAACCAATTCATACTGTCAACAACTCGAACTTGAATCATAATTAGAAAGTGTTGCTCTAAACATTACCTGTTGAAAGCAAGCATGGCTTCAAAAGGAGTAATAACAGGAGCTAAGAAATCCTTGCTATCCATGAGAGCAGTTTGAGCACAAGAGACATAAATGAAAACATCGCACTGCCAAAATGAAGAGAGTTCTAAACAGTTCGGCATTCTCATCACACTCAGAAAAAAACATCCAACAATCTGCATGCATATAGGATATATCAAAGTTTACCTCTGGAAAGTTGGCAAGTTTTGCAGGGTTTGGTCTTCCCATAACAAGCGTGTAGGCCTTCTTACCAGCTCCAATGATCAACTCTTTCATTTGATGAATCATATGCAGGTAACCAGCTGCATTAACATCTCAATGAAACATTGTCTTGATACGCAATAGAGGGCCACAATACTGGGTAGATGTCCAAAGTACTATAAAAACAATAAATGAAAAACGAAAAATTAAACAAAAACTCTGGGTACCCATACCATCAGCTCATTTGTTTGGAAAAAACGAGACGTACCAGTACAATTTGGTCATACTGTAGGGGGTGTTCAACAGGACAGTAGAGTGGCTACACTTGGAGGCAGTGAATACAATGTGGGCTTTTGGTTTTACAGAATTCTCTCAAAAAGAGATGACAGTGTGAGACTCCATTCTTTGTCTTGCCAGTTTAGGAAAATCGAGGATGTTGTCAGTGTTAATAGAATTTGGAATCTTCCTCGGTGCGTTGAAGAAATTTCAAGGTGGTGGGTTTCACTAGTAAAAGGCAGGGGTGCTCGAGAACTACCAGTGCTATGTATGAGCTCTCAACTTCATTGATGCATGGATGGGACTTCTATGTGGAGCAGCTCCCTGGTGAAAAATATGGAGTTCTCAAGTCAAGAGCTACCAGCTCCATGTTTGAATTCTCTGGCTTCATAGATGCAGACTCGATCATTTATGAAAATCTTTTGTGATAACTATAGCATTATCCATCCAACTACTTGTCCCCATACCTTCCAACAAAATAGTGTTGCCAAACGTAAGCACCGTAATTTGTTGGATGTTGCCCACACCTTGATGTTCAACATGCATGATTGCATATGCCAAAATCATATTGGGTTGATGTTGTTCTTACATCAGTTTATCTTATTAATCGCATGTCTTCTCCCATTTTGAACAACAAATGTCCCTTCTCGTTGCTTTATCCTGATAAACCGACATTTAGTCTCACTCCTCATTTCTTTGATTGTGTTGCATTTATTCATTTCCTTGGTTTGGTTAGGGATAAACTTTCGCCTCGCTCAATTAAGTGTCTTTTGGGTATATTCTCGTACTCAGAAAAGTTATTGCTGCTATAACCCTATTTCTCGTCAATATTATGTCGGTGTTGATGTTACCATTTTTAAGTCATCCTCCTTTTCTGTGTCAGGTAATACACTATCCAAATTTAGTCTTTCTTAGTCAAGGAGAGCCCTTGTTGCCTATTATGCCAGATTGTGCATCTTCTTCCTCCCTTGAATCCTCCTCCTCCTCCTCCCTTGCAGGTTTTTCGTCATTCCAAGGACAAACGGGTTGTTCCATATACTCCAGTTCCACAACCATCACCTGATTCTACTGAGGTCTTTCCCGTTGAGATGTCAGCTAGTTTATCATCTCTTAATTTGCATATTGCATTGAGGAAAACTACCCGCAATTGTATAAAACATCCTATTTCTAATTTTGTTTATTTGCATCGGTTTTCACCATCTTTTCGTTGTTTTGCATCGACTCTATTTTCGGTATTTGTTCCTAATTCTTTGAAATAGGCATTGGTATCTCCTGGTTAAAAACTGGCTATGAATGAAGAAATGAAAGCCCTTAATGAGAATCAAGCATAGGACCTTACTTCTCTTCCCTCTGATAAACAGTCTGCCAGTTGTCATTGGGTATACACAGTGAAGTATCATTCTAATGGTCCAGTTGAGTGTCTAAAGGCCTATCTGGTTGCTAGAGGCTACACCAAACCTATGGTGTAAATTGGTGAGAAACTTTCTCTCTTGTTGCTCGATTTAACTTGTTAGAGTTCTTATTTTGGTTGCAGTGAGTTGTGATTGGTCTCTATATCAACTGTATGAGGAGGTATATATGGTCTATGTAATATTCCGTTCCATTTTGGTAAGGAAATAGTTGAAAAATATTATCTTAGAAGGAATAAAAAAAAAATTAAAGAAAAATTTAGAATAATCTAGAAGAATCTAGAATGTTGAAAAAAAATTCTAGAAAGTTCTAGAACAATCTAAAAAAATCTAGAGTATTTTAAAAGATTCTAGAAAATACTAGAAGGTTTTAGAGGAATTTAGAATGATCCAGAAAGTTTCTGAAGGACGTAGAAGGTTGGAGAACACTTTAGAATATCATAGATGAATCTAAATACTTGTGAAATTGTCATGTGCAAAATAAGCTTGAAATCTAGAAGGCTCTAGGAAAAGGGAGATGGTAGAATATTCTAGGGAATTTCTTCCTTAAAATGTCATATGTCAATATTCTCTAGAATAATCCTAAGATGCTTATAAATAAGGTATTTGGAGATTGGATTAAGGATACAAGTACACAAGTAGTCTTTCACTTTCAAGAAAGAATAAAGAGTAAAAGAGAGAAAGAAAAAAAACATAACACTTCATCAAAGGAGAAAGGAAATCGTGAGAAAAAGAGAAAAGACATCGATAACATCTCACTCTACTTCGAGTAACAAGCAACACTCAAGAAACATATCATTTTCTTTGGACTTGAGGTGAGTGGTTTGACATGCTACGTAATTTTTCCGTATCCCNGGAAAACTACCCGCAATTGTATAAAACATCCTATTTCTAATTTTGTTTATTTGCATCGGTTTTCACCATCTTTTCGTTGTTTTGCATCGACTCTATTTTCGGTATTTGTTCCTAATTCTTTGAAATAGGCATTGGTATCTCCTGGTTAAAAACTGGCTATGAATGAAGAAATGAAAGCCCTTAATGAGAATCAAGCATAGGACCTTACTTCTCTTCCCTCTGATAAACAGTCTGCCAGTTGTCATTGGGTATACACAGTGAAGTATCATTCTAATGGTCCAGTTGAGTGTCTAAAGGCCTATCTGGTTGCTAGAGGCTACACCAAACCTATGGTGTAAATTGGTGAGAAACTTTCTCTCTTGTTGCTCGATTTAACTTGTTAGAGTTCTTATTTTGGTTGCAGTGAGTTGTGATTGGTCTCTATATCAACTGTATGAGGAGGTATATATGGTCTATGTAATATTCCGTTCCATTTTGGTAAGGAAATAGTTGAAAAATATTATCTTAGAAGGAATAAAAAAAAATTAAAGAAAAATTTAGAATAATCTAGAAGAATCTAGAATGTTAAAAAAAATTTCTAGAAATTTCTAGAACAATCTAAAAAAATCTAGAGTATTTTAAAAGATTCTAGAAAATACTAGAAGGTTTTAGAGGAATTTAGAATGATCCAGAAAGTTTCTGAAGGACGTAGAAGGTTGGAGAACACTTTAGAATATCATAGATGAATCTAAATACTTGTGAAATTGTCATGTGCAAAATAAGCTTGAAATCTAGAAGGCTCTAGGAAAAGGGAGATGGTAGAATATTCTAGGGAATTTCTTCCTTAAAATGTCATATGTCAATATTCTCTAGAATAATCCTAAGATGCTTATAAATAAGGTATTTGGAGATTGGATTAAGGATACAAGTACACAAGTAGTCTTTCACTTTCAAGAAAGAATAAAGAGTAAAAGAGAGAAAGAAAAAAAACATAACACTTCATCAAAGGAGAAAGGAAATCGTGAGAAAAAGAGAAAAGACATCGATAACATCTCACTCTACTTCGGGTAACAAGCAACACTCAAGAAACATATCATTTTCTTTGGACTTGAGGTGAGTGGTTTGGCATGCTACGTAATTTTTCCGTATCCCTAAACATTTTAAAAATTATACATAATGCTTGTTCTTTACTACCTTTACAATAATGTTTTACTAATTGCCTAAATATTTACGGCATACGATTTTGATTACTTTAATGAACTCTTTTGTGAAGTATTGTGACTCAAATCATTTGTTTATATGGTGAAATTTTGTGATAGTGAATGGGACCATGATTGAAAGTCCAGATAAATTATTCCTCCTCTGTGTGCGAGTGACCCTGACCACTAGGGAATAGTCGGGGGAGGTTGAGGTGACCCTAATGCTCAATGGTTGAAAGAACAGTTCCTAGTACATCTTGGTGACCTTCACCGAATCGTCTTAGGGAATAGTTCCCGGGCAGCAACCCGTAGTGTGACCCTAAGAACGATATTGGATCCACCCCTGAGATATATTCTAGCATTTGGTACTAAAAGTCCAGAAAAATTATTCCTTTGTGTGCGGATGACCCTAGCCACTAAGGAACAGACCCGGGGAGGCTGAGGTGACCCTAGTGCTTAACGATTGAAGGAACAATTCCTGGTGCGTCCTGGTGACCTTCACCGGATCGTCTTAGGGAACACTTCTCGGGCAGCAACCTGTGGTGATCTTAAGTACGGTGTTAGATCCAACCTTAAGATCTTTTGGCATTTGGTACTTGGTTCCCATCAATTATTGGATATCGTACAGTCTCCATCATTATAATATGATTCACCATTGTGGTATAATTTTTTGTTCAAATCTGATTGTATTATTCTTGAAAAATTGGTTATCTTGATGAATTTATTTTTTTTTTAAATGTTTAGGAATACGGGAAAAATACGTAGCATGCCAAACCACTCACCTCAAGTCCAAAAAAAATGATATACTTCTTGAGTGTTGCTTGTTACCTGAAGTAGAGTGAGATGTTATCGATGTCTTTTCTCTTTCTCTCACGATTTTCTTTTTCCTTTGATAAAGTGTTCTTGCTTCCTTCTCTCTTTTACTCTATATTCTTTCTTGAAAGTGGAAGACTACTTGCGCACTTGTATCCTTAATCCAATCTACAAATACCCTATTTATAACCATCCTAGAATTATTCTAGAGAATATTGACATGTGACATTTCTAGGGGAGAATTCCCTAGAATATTCTACCATCTCCCATTTCCTAGATCTTTCTAGGTTTCAAGCTTATTTTACACATGGCAATTTCACAAGGATCTAAATTCATCTATGATATTCTAAAGTTTTCTCTAACCTTCTACGTCCTTCCGCAACTTTCCGAATCATTCTAAATCCCTCTAAAACCTTCTAGTATTTCATAAAATCTTCTAAAATACTCTAGACTTCTTTAAATTGTTCTAGAACTTTCAAATTCTTCTAGAACTTTCTAGAAACTTCTCCAACATTCTAGATTTTTCTAAGTTCTTCTTTAAAAA